ACCCGACGGTCGTACTCCGCCAGGGCCGTAGGGGTCGGCTCCGGGGTGGTCGGCAGGGCGGCGGGGGACGGGGGGGCCTGTAGGGCACCAGACGCGTGAGCCCACAGAGTGGCGCCGTCCTGTCGCTGGCTGGTGAGGAAGCGTGTGGTCTGGCGCTGCCAGGTACCGAACTCGATTGGGCGTCCCTCCGCATCGAAACGGAGGCGACGGGCCTCCATAGCGGAGCCCATGCTAGAGGCGTCTGGAGCACGGCGGAGGCGGAGCTAAGAACGAGGAGGAAAACTACGGAGCGCCAGGAGAGAAAGCGACGGAGCGAGAGACTAGGAGTACCGAGCGACCTAGACTAGGCGTGAAATCGTGGATCGCCAGCTACAGGTGCGAGGAGCGAGGTATGAGCGGCTAAAACGGCTCTAACCTAGGTGACCGGCGAGAGAGAGCGGCTGCCAGCCGCTGAGGGATAGACCAGTGTCAGCAGAGCTGGGGAGGCCCCCGCGCACAAGGCGGTGGTGGGGCTAAGGTGATGAACAGTGAGAGAGGGGCGGGGAGGCCGAATGCGACGGTGAAAATGGGCGGGAGGAGGATCTGACGGTGGGAAATGGGCGGGGAGGGGAGGTTGACGCGACGGGCAAGGGAGGGCGACGGGATTGGGAGGGGAGGGCGACGCGACGGGCAGGGGAAGGGGAGGCGACGCGACGGGCAGGGGAAGGGGAGGCAAACGCGACGGGCAGGAGGAGGGGAGGCGACGCGACGGGCAGGAGGAGGGGAGGCGACGCGACGGGCAGGGGGAAGGGAGGCGACGCGACGGGCAGGAGGAGGGGAGGCGAACGCGACGGGCAGGAGGAGGGGAGGCGACGCGACGGGGAGGGGAAGGGGAGGGGGGGCGACGCGACGGGGAGGGGGAGGGCGCGACGGGCAGGGGGAGGGCGCAACGGGCAGGGGGAGGGCTCGACGGTCAGGGGGGGAGGGCGCGACGGGCAGGGGGAGGGCGCAACAGTGGGAGGGGCCGGGCTAGGCGCGCGGTGAGGGCGTGGAGGGCGCGGAGGGTACTAACGTGCGGAGGGCGCGGAGGGCACGAACGTGCGGAGGGCGCGGAGGGCACGGAGGGCGCGGAGGGCACTAATGTGCGGAGGGCGCGGAGGGGACGAACGTGCGGAGGGCGCGGAGGGCACGGAGGGCGCGGAGGGCGCTAAGGCGCGGAGGGCGCTAAGACTAGGCTAGGGCTAGGCTAGGGCTAAGGAACTCGAACCTACAATGATACCATCTCAAGAGTAGAATGCAACGGAATGATTGGAATAGAAACGAATGGGGTACAAATAAGCAACCCTAGAAGCTGTACCCCCTAGAGTGCAACTCACTACAGCCTATCATATCAATGTTCAACATTTGACAATCTTTCCCACCCTTCGAGAGGGTTCGGAAGAAATGCAGCTGCCACGCAGCGCATGCGGCTGTGATTGGGCCGCACGGCAACATCCCCGTCACTGCTGTCACATTCGATGGTTCTAGACGGAACTGTGCGGTGGGAAACCGAGCCGCAGCTGTTTTTGCCTGAAAACCATGCACGATCCCACTTGTTGCATGGTAGACCGAATTCGCCTTATTGAGGGCTTCACTTTGGTATGTTTAAAATTGAATTTCATTTTCCCCTTATTACAAGCGCATGCGCTTATAATTTTGACTCAATTATAAGCGCACCCCCCCAAAAAACACTGTTTTATTATAAGCGCACCTGCGCTTATATCCGGGGTAATACGGTGTTGTTAATGCCATGAGGAATTACTGAGTCATCAGGGCCTATCACATGAGCACATTCCTGCACATTCAGATACTGCAGCATTTTCAGCTCTGTCAGATCCTCTGGCAGCGCTTGCAAGTTCTTACAGCCTGACAAATAGAGGCTCTTGAGTCGGGTAAGCCGCGGAAAGTTGGGAGGAAGGAAGCGAATCCTCCGGCCGTTGTACATTGACAGCTCACTCAGGCAGGACAACTGGGTGAGGGAATCAGGCAGGCAATCCAGTTCGCAGCAGTTGGATAAGTGAAGTTCCCGCAGCTTCGATAAGGCTCCGATGCCATGAGGAAGAGAGGAGAGTGAGAAAGCAGTCTCAACTTTCAATGCTGTCAGATGCTGAAGCTCAGTAATGCTAGCTGGCAGTTCTCTCAACGAATAAGCATCCATGATTTTCAGCATTTGCAGCTGCGGTAGTGCTTACCCCATATCTTCTGGCAGACTCCTGAGATTGCCACAGCCAAGAAAAATCAGCGTGCGTAGGTCAGAGAGAGGTGTCAAGGCGAATGGAAGCTCCTCTGCATCATGTGCCAGTGATAACTCAAGATGTCGCAGGAGGGATAGGCTGCTGCTGAATGTGGGTCCACATTCCACCTTCTCCAAACTAAGCTTCCATAGCCTACTCGGTCCAAAGGCGTCTGGAAGAAACGTGGTGTGGTCGCTGCTTCCCAGGCTCAGGATCTCAAGCGAAGCTGGAAGAACATCGCAAGGAAATGTGTGCATGTTGCATGACGTTATCCTGAGCCGTTTCAGCCGTGCGAGACTCCCTAGGTTGCTTGGTATGGAAAACAGGTCTATGCAGTCAGCGAATGTAAGAATCTCAAGGCCTGTCAGAGATGTCACAGATTCAGGAATCGCCCTAAGTCCAGAGCAGGACGATATGTGCAGTTCTCGCAGGCTCTGCAGCTGTCCTATGCCCTCAGGCAGCTCTTCAATATGACAGGAGGTCAGTTCAAACCGTGTCAGGAAAGGAACACCAGTTAACGAGGCTAGGAAAGGTTGCAGGGGACAGCTTTTTACAAAAAGGGTGTGGAGGTGAGTGAGGCGGTCAATGTCCTTTGGAAGTGCCACGTTCTCTATGCACAGTGTTCTGAGAGCTGTAAGGCAGAAGAACTCTGACGGCAGATGAAGGATCGGTGAGCTCCAATGCAAGAACAGGGTTTCCAAAGATGAGAGCTGGAAGAATGAATCATTGAGGCCTGAGAGAGCCAGACTTTCTAGCACCAGACTTTTCAGGGAAGACAGGCGTCCAAATATGTCGGGCAGGGACGTAAGTCTTTCGCACTTAATGATTGTGAAGCTCTCTAAGTTTCTCAGGGAAGTGATTCCGTCTGGTAGCTGCTTAAGTTTCTCGCAGTTGGAAATCGTCAGGTTACGAAGACGTGGCAGCGATTCGCCAAAATGGTCAGGAAGCTGCTCCAATCCTGGGCAAAGAAAGATTTTCAGCCGTTCAAGATTCAGGCCTGACCAATCAGAAAGTTGCAAGTTGATTAGATTTACAGACTGTAGAGAAGGTAGCATCTGTTCTATCGCTGCAGCTAAAGCTCCCGTTTTTTCAAGCGAAACCTCGGCGATTCGGGAAAATGAAAGACTGGCGAGTCTGGGAAGGCGAGGGAGGTTTGAAATCTGCTCTATGGTAATTCTTTCGTAGGAGATATGGAGAAAGGTGAGAGAGCTAAGGTTCTCCAAATCCGGAGATTCTAAAGCTGAGGCGTCTGCTAGATAAAGGGTTTGTAGATGGGTTAGCTGGAAAAACGATGGCGGTAGCTGAACGCCTGGATAGAGGCGGGGTAGGGAGAGCCGCTCGAGCTGGGTGCATCGCTGGAAGAAACCATTCCAGCCAGCTTGAGTGATCGGGTGCGGCAACTCATGATCACCACCCATATATCGCCATGCCATTCGACTGCCTAGGAAAAGCGTAGTCAGCTTAGGGCACAAGGAGGCGAGATGAATGAGGAACGCGTCGTCTACGGTCTCTATGCTGTTCTCTTGCAAATGGAGATATGTGAGGTTCGGCACGAAAGACAACCAACGTAAGAGATCTTGGGAGGAAACAAGCAGGCCGCTCGGAACATTGAGAGCGGAGACGTAACGGGCAGATAGCTCGCGCCAACGACGACACACAAACGCGATGCCTCGAATTTTAGATGCAACGACTGAAGGAGTCTTTTTCTCACGAACAGAATCTCTGTCGAGACGGCTAGGAGAGATGTATTGTGGAGATGGATACAGCAAACTCCACAGAGCATCACTTTCTAGATCGCGCGATGTTTCTCTCCTGTTAGAGAGCCACAATATCCGCACGAGAACGTCGTCAGAGAGGTCGTTAATATGCGTAGGCGACTGCATATTGAGTAAAGAACGACTAGAATGACTAAGTCGGCTGATCAGATTATACGGTAAAACGACTAGGAGAGTGAAGCAGCAGAAAGTAAGAACTACCAGTAATCACAAGAAAGTGTGAAAGCAGATATACCAAACATTCTCCCTCCTTCCCAGATCGTTTCCCGCTACCCCCGCCTCCCAGGGTACGTAACAGGGAGCTGAGGGGGTACTCAGGGAGCATTCAACCAGTCTGACATGCTCGGAGTTTCGGCTGAAATCAACGTCATATGAATCGACGCATTCCGTTCCGATAGTTGCAGGTCAGCAGTCAGCATCAGAGGGTACCTGCGAAGGGCTTGCTGACACGCTGGCAAGAATGGATCGAAATGGAAACTGAGGTCGTTCAATTGACGAGATCTGGTGACGTCGTCGCAAAGATCTCCATTGTAGCCGTGCGATCGCATTTGTAGACATGCCCAGGCCTGCTACAAAAGTACTATAACAACATAATACTATACCACATCATGAGAGCAAACTAAACCAAGTACGGTAGCCCCCCCCTCATACCCCCTTCCACATACAAAACAGATCACACAGAGAGACATGCTCTGATGCGAGCGCACATGCGAGACATGGTGGTAGGTAGCCAACTGTACACATACTGTACACAAACTGCACAACGCCTAGCCAACGGAAACATCTACCTACATCCAGGGTCTGCCTGTGCAGATGTGCATGCCCCTTGAAACACTCATCCTCTAGAATTGAGGAAATGGCGGCCATGATCGCATACACCGAAACGCTCCTTCAGACGGAACACGCACGGTACATACACAGAAATGAGAGCACCTTGAACAGCCAAACCAACCCCCCATGCGCATGCAACACTCTAGCGCACTGCAACATCCCTGCTGTGCCTGTGCAGGGGCACGCGCACCCTGAAGCACTCAAACTCCTTGTCCTTGGAGTAGAGGCAGTGCCCATGGCGACAGCCCAGACGGGAGCAGAGGCGGGGACAGGCCGATATGTACAGGCAGTCGTTGGGTTTGTCCACTGTAATGGAGAGGCCGTTAAAGAGTACGCACTCGCTGATGACATCAGCAGCAGCCAGCTTCTCCATGATCATGATGGCCTGTTGAGGAAAAGGAGAAGGTAGAGAGCAGGATAAGGGAGGACGTGCGGAACGATGAGTGTACAGGAATTCCAAACTTGCTAATGACATCAGCAGCAGCCAGTTTCTCCATGATCATGATGGCCTGTTGAGAGGATGGAATGAGTAGTATACAGAAATCCAATCTGAATATTGACATGAATCAAAGGGGGAATCTTGCTGCGAGCCTGCCTCTTCATACTCACAAAGGCCTGTTGAGAGAGGAATAGGAGATACGGTTGATTGTAGAAAACGAGACGTCTAGAAAACACAATCAGTTCCTACATTTATTAACCAAGCAACAGGCCAATTTATTTCACCAAGCAACATGCCAATTTATTTCACCAAGCAACAGGCCAATAAGGATGGGACGTAGCTGAACGTACCTGGCAGTTGTTACAAACGAATGTTTGGTGCGGCATCCCTACATCGAATTTCAAAGTCATGTCATGGAAAATGATAAAACAAGTTGCTTACTTTGATTTCCGCAGCACAAGGGGCGAGCTTGGGGTCGTGCAGCAGCAGATTTAACAGCAGCTGATCATCTAAGCACGCTTTGGCCTTGGCGAGTTTTGAGTCGACTAAAAAAGTGGGTTGAGCTTGGGGTCGTGCAGCAGCAGCATGGAAAGAAAGAAATAAATAAATAAAGAAAAGACGACGATCAACCTAACAAAACAAAAAACTCGCACCTTAATTTCCGCAGCGAACTGCGCAAGCTTGGGCTCATGCAGCAGCAGATTCAGCAGCAGCTGATCGTCCAAAACACGGCTTAGCCTTGGCGAGCTAAGGATGCAACAGCATAAAAAAATAAAAAAAGACAGGAAAAAACGCACCTTGATTTCTGCAGCAAAGGGCGCGAGCTTGGGGTCGTGCAGCAGCAGATTCAGCAGCAGCTGGTCGTCCAAGCACGCCTTGGCCTTGGCGAGCGGCACCAGGAACGTGTGGTTCCGCAGGCTGATCTCTGAGAACAGCAGTGGCGGCTCCTGCTGAGAGTCCACAAACACCCCCACGCACACCTCGCCCAGCTTCTCCGACTGCACGCACTTATGCCACACCAGCTCTGCGTCTTCTAAGGCTTTCTTTCTCGCTTCTTCGGCGCTATCGAGATCGTTTTCCTCGTCGGAGGCTTCGTCAGCGGCGGATTCGGCGGCGTGAGCAGCCACGTCGGTCGCGGCGTCCGTGGCGGCGCTCGCCACGTCAGCGGCTGCTACTGCCGCAACGGCGTCAGCAGGACCCGCGCCAGCCACGTCAGCAACACCGTCCACAGCTTCGGTCCCCAGCACCATCGCTCCTGCGCCAGTGACAGCTGGCACTGCCGCTGCTGCTGCTGCTACTGCAGCATCTGCGGCTGTTTCAGCAACTGTTGTGCCTGCTAATTCACTGCTTGCTGCTGCTGCCGTCGCTTCTGCAGCGGATGCACTTTCGTCAGCGATCGCGCGTGCTTCGTTCGCCGCCTTAACCGCGTCGGCCGCGAGCTCGCCTAAAATGTCCTTCTGACTACTGACTCCGGAAGTCGGTTTCGGATTGGCAGAAATCTGCTTTGGTGGGAGCGTTGCTTGAGAATTCGCCGGCTGCTGCACGGCTGCCTGCTGCTCCATCTGAACGAGAGACCTGTGATAGGAGCGTTTAGATAGAGCGCATAGAAAGGGATGCATATATGTTAGTCGTATCCAAGAAGAAATATGAAGGCCGTTCGGGATTTTGTGGGGTGTTGCGGGACTGCGACCAGTTCATCTATCTGAACGAAAGCACTGTCGGCGCGTTGGGGTAGAGCGAAAAGCAATGGCTAAAGCGACCATTTATCAAGCAACGCAAATCGGTGAAGGAGAAGCGTGGATAAGAAACATCCAGCGTCAGGTCGAATCATGCAGCAGCATTCTGAGCAAAAAAAACAGCGGAGAGTCCAAGCCTGCTGCTACGTACCGAACGGCGAACAAACGCGGCGCACAAATCAGGATAACGACGAGAACGAGCAGCAGGGAAGAACGGCGGGCCATGGCTGACGGAACGGAGGCTAACAACCTTCAGGTTCTGCTCAGGATATCCCAGCACACTCCTGAGCAGCAACACACTAGAATTTGTTGCTCCCTTGAGCCTGTTTCTGCTACCCCAACCCTAGCTGAGTTTGTTCCTCAAAGTTTGCTCTCAATCAATCCTCCGAGTTTCTTGTTCCTCCCATCGTGAGAGAACTTCTCCAGTGGCCAATTCGGTGATTCATCCTTGCTCGGGGGACCTCGAATTACTCAAGTGGCCACCCAATTTGGTGATAATTACTCGAGTGGCCACGCCAGGGGATTTTTGCTGGCTTTTTTTCCACCGGCGCATTACCCTACAGGGCTGTGTAGCCCCGAAATTCCTCATTCGTGCGAGTGGTATCCCGAGGTAGTGTACTGTTCTGTTCCGCACCCGAAAATTTCGCCAGGCTCACGGACGCGAAAGTGGCCCGCCCACTGTACAAGAAACCGACCAACAGTACATTGGCCGGTCAGTTTCGGCCAAATGCGCGACCAATGAGCACGCGGTCAATCGAATTCCAAACCAATCATCGATCGAGCAAATAACTTAGCGATCATATGCTGCATTTGACCCGAAACGAACCGCCACAGCAATAACGACCGCGCTCGATTGGTCAGGAAATATGCGCGGTGCATTTGTTGCCACTGCGCGTCCAATCAGGTGCCATCGTAGAATTCCCGATCATATACTGAAATGATCGGGAAGTCGGTTCGCGAGAAATTAGATGACCGGGCGTGAGTGGTTTGTTTTGTTCGCAGGATATGATTTGACATTGCGCGTCCAATCAAATACGTCCTATACAAAGTCGCAGGCATATATTATATAAGATCGCGCAATAACCTTTATGTGCGCGCATATATGATGATCAATTGTGTGTGCTTAGGGAGCATGTAGAACCTATTCATAAATTCCGCATACATATACTCCCGGAATATATTTGGTACGTCGTAGCTACTGTCCGCAGTTTTTTTTTGCCGTTAAATCTATATAACACCGTGAACACCTTTCATGTGGCAGGCAGAGGCGTAGGGTTATAACGATATGCATATGTATCTATTGTCATGTCAGGATCTACGCATGCATACCATAGTTTAAGTAGAACGATTTTAAGTTTATGGATCACCCAATTTCAGTATCACCAACTGTCACAGCATTTACTGCGTTGCTTGACCAAGGAAGGCATCGATTATGTCGGCTGTCGCCCCTGCACACGATCAGGAAACAAATTCAAGAATTAATACAAGGTTATATTCCGCCTTTATAACCCGGAACTTATGTTCATACATGCAGAATTTATGAATAGGTTCTACATGCTCCCTAAGCACACACAATTGATCATCATATATGCGCGCACATAAAGGTTATTGCGCGGTCTTATATAATATATGCCTGCGACTTTGTATAGGACGTATTTGATTGGACCCGCAATGTCAAATCATATCCTGCGAACAAAACAAATCACTCACGCCCGGTCATCTAATTTCTCGCGAACCGACTTCCCGATCATTTCAGTATAAGATCGGGAATTCTACGATGGCACCTGATTGGACGCGCAGTGGCAACAAATGCACCGCGCATATTTCCTGGCCAATCGAGCGCGGTCGTTATTGCTGTGGCGGTTCGTTTCGGGTCAAATGCAGCATATGATCGCGAAGTTATTTGCTCGATCGCTGATTGGTTTGGAATTAGATTGACCGCGCGCTCATTGGTCACGCATTTGGCCGAAACTGACCGGCCAATGTACTGTTGGTCGGTTTCTTGTACAGTGGGCGGCCACTTTCGTGTCCGTGAGCCTGGCAAAATTTTCGGGTTCGGAACAGAACGGTACACTACCTCGGGATACCACTCGCACGAATGAGGAATTTCGGGGCTACACAGCCCCGTAGGGTAATGCGCCGGTGGAAAAAAAGCCAGCAAAAATCCCCTGGCGTGGCCACTCAAGTAATTATCACCAAATTGGGTGGCCACTCGAGTAATTCGAGGCCCCCCGAGCAAGGATGAATCACCGAATTGGCCACTGGAGAAATTCTCTCCTCGTCATCCTCCTGCTGCCTGCTTGCCCTCGTTTCACGTTCTTTTCAGTGTACTGTACAAATCCCGAGTTCGATCAATGAGGGGTGAGGGGAAGGACAAGGGGGAGAAGTGTGCGGGAGGGGGAGGTTGGGGGGGTGGGGTGGGGGATGGAGGGGGGAAGTACTTGCACCCACCTGGAGGCACTGGGGCGAGAGGGGCAAGATGCACTTCGCCCCTAAACGTAATCAGGGCGGGTCATGCATATTTTGTTGCGGGTTTGTTCTACGTGGTTTAATACGTTCAATTACGTTTAGGAGCGGTTTCCAGCTTTGAAGAATTGCGCTCCAGCCAGGACGAACCATTCAAAACGAGCTCTCGCTGACGAGGCTTCCTTCCAGATCAAACACACTTCCAGTGGACAAGTTGCAGGAATCGCCTCAACCAGCGGAATAGTTCAGTCTTGATTGCATTCGAAGTCGAACTAGAAACGTCATTGCGGCTCATCTGTTCTGAAACGAATAAGACACGGGACTCTTTGTGGCACGAAATGGTATTGGCCCAAATGGACGCTGGAGTGGACCATATTTGACGTGGATTCCTGGTGATTTACGCAGCTCAGTGCCACATCATTGTACACGTGGATCAGCTGAACCTGCTTCGGTATTTCCAACTAAAACTGGGGCTTTGGAAGGAGCGCGGAGAGCTGAAAATCCACGGCTAGCGTTTACCCATCTCCCCGCACCACCATCACCGAGGCTCCGAGTAACCTGGGGCGAAAACTCACCCACCCCGACTTGAATGCGGCTATAGAAATGCCACTGTCTGAATGCTGAATGCTGAGAGCTTTGCATTGTGAGTAATAACTAGGTACTGGAAGACAAGCAGATTGGCACTTCACGAGTTCACGACCATCATCCTACTGAACCTATCTCCAATCTTCCGCTGACAGCTCTTGCGCAGGTGTCGAACGAGATGTGTGATCCTCGCTTCGTTCTATGCTCACTTCTTCCTTTAGAACTCTAGTCAGCGCACATTCCGTCCGCTCGCCACGGCGCAGCATCCTTTCGCTTTCCGCGTGTTTGTTTTCAAAAACGTCTGTTTCCCTGTTGTCGTTGACGGAGAGGATCGATCCATCATCCACGCTTCGTCGAAGCCTGATGATCGCGGTACCTGGCGACACCTTCAGTAGTTACAGTCATGATCAAGTCGCGTCAGCAACCGACCTACCAACCTTTACACCACTAAGTCAAATGTATTAGGTAATCGGACAGCGATTGTATCGCAATCCCGTTGCTCAATAAGAGTCACTACCACTGATTAAGTCCGATTGTAAGAGTCGAGTACCAACGGTACCCGCATTGGACCAGAATCGACCATCACATAACAATGTCGAAGCAATCCCACGATGTCCTCGATACAGCCGTCGCGTTCCTCCAAAAGCGCGACGGCACCGACAAAGTGCTCAAAATCTGCCGGTACTCCGTCAAGCTCCTCCTCGCCGTCTCGTTAAGTCATCCCTCACAAACAGCCGGCTCTCAGTCTGAAACCGTGCGACGGCTCAAGAGCTTCGAGTCGAGCGTGGGAGCCAGCCGGAAGGCGCTGCGCGTGGGGAAGTTCTTGCAAGACGTGGATGCGCTGAGGAAGGCTCCGCCATTCAGCAGCGCGGAGGGGTTTCTGGAGCTCGTCGCGAGCGGCGGAGAGGGAGTTTACTACTTCGTGGAACAACTCGTCTGGCTGGTAGGTGGAGTGGAACTGCTTTTTTTTTACCTTTTGAGGTGTCTTATAACGGGTTTCTGGAGCTCGAGGCGAGCGGTGGCGAGGGGTTGTACTACTTCGTGGAGCAGCTCGTGTGGCTGGTAAGTGGGATGCTCTCTGATAGTACATCTGTGTTGAGGCGTCTTATAACGGGTTTCGAGAGGTCGTGGCGAATTGTAGCGAGGGGGTGTACTACTTCGTGGAGCAACTCGTCTGGCTGGTAGGTGAAACGCTCTCTCATAATACCTTTGTTTTCAGGCGTCTCAGAACAAGTTATTAGCTCGTGAGCAGCTCGCGTGGCTGGTAGGTAGAGCAGTCTCTGTGTGCCTTGCTCCTTGCGCATTGCACATTCTGTCCTTGCACATTGCACTTGTACATTGTTCACTTGCTGTTATCGAACAGACTGAGCGAGTCTAGGAATCATGATGTAAAGGAAAACAAAATGGGTGTGTAAATTACTTCACTCTTCTTCTGTTTTTCCCCATGATTTGGTTGGCAGGTCAAGACCGGCGCCTTAGACAAGAAGCACTCGAGGCAGCTCCAGAAGATCAGCGCATGGGCGGAGTTCATAGGGTATTTCGGAAGTGTAGCCCTGAAATCCATGGAGATAACCACCCTCTTGCACAAAGAGCGGTCAGTTTCACTGCAGATCAGAAACCAGCCAATCCCATTCTCCAATGGCGAATCCTGCAGATCGCCTGACCAAGGAGGTAGCAGTAGCAGCAGCATGGCCATGACGTCATCACCAGAGGAGGCTGCACGGAAGGTTCTGAAGGCGCTTCGGTTCAAGCGGCTTTTAAAGACACTGGCTCTGATCCAGGACCTATCAGACGCCCTCCTGGCTCTGCATGACATTCTAGAAGATTCCGATGGTAACAGCCCGCTAGGGAACCCTGCGCTTCTGGCTGCTTGCGGGTTGCTGTCTGCATTGATATCCATGCACAAAACATGGGTGTCTGCATCAGGGTGACATTGCTGAGCCTGCTGGTATCAGCTGCTGCTGATAATCAGCCGCAGTGGGCCCGACTGAACTCATGTCATCGTTGCTGTCCGCGTTGATATCCACACACACGACATGGGTGACTGCATCAGGGTAACCTTGATGTGTCTGCTACGGTATCAGCTGCTGATAATCAGCACCAGTGGGTCCGACTGGTCTCAGGTCATCTCATCTCACCTGAATTCATTCCATGTCATGCATGTACTGTCTGCTACAGCATTGTCAGCAATGTACACAGCACAGCCCGCACAGCACAGCTCCTCTGCCAGGCCCCTAGATTGGTTTTGGGGTAGGCTGAAAAATCAGAGTTCGCTCGCAAATTTACGCTGAAAATCAGCCAAAAATGACATATTTCCATTCAAACACACTAGAAAATCACCAAGTTTTTTGGGGAAAAGGCTGACAAATCAGCCTTGGTACAGAAAAAAAGGCTGAATGAAGGCTGAATCAGCGTAAAAAGGCTGAAATCTAGGGGCCTGTCCTCTGCCATGATATCCACATGAACAAGAACTCGTGTCAGCACCAGGCAAGGCAAGCCTTGTGCTGGTAGTGGTACGGTAGGAGTTGCAAGTTCAGGAACTCTATGCCAGCACACCGTCAGCAGCTGTCTTACTCAACCCCATCTGTGTGTATAGCACTGACTGAGGTGTAAATTACCATCAGAGAGGGTTGTTTGTGGGTTGGTCTCTGTTGGTATCCATTTACCGTAAGATTTGACCAACATACCCTATGACGTTGTCCATTACAGGGAAACAAACATGATTTATTCCGCAACACCTACATTACAGCATTCAATGTACCGTACTGATGTATCCTATACACACAACACAACCCAATCCAAAGCAAACCTGAGGAGGATCCAACGCACATCCAGATTAACTCTGTCCTGCTGCTAATGGAAAATTACACGCCCTAAGGAAAACCAGCAAAGCAAATGCACAGTCAGCCACCAGACGAGAGTCTGCATTGCTCGAACGGAAGAGGCTTGTAAGATGCGGGTTCAATGCCCTCACTGCACTGCCCCCTCTGCCTCCACCTCTTCTCACCTCTTTCCACCTCTTCCTACCCTCCCATATCCAAACCTTGTACAATTTCTTCCTTCACCGTCTTTCCACTTTCTTCCACCCTCCCTTCGCATGTCACACCCTCGTCCCACCTCCTACAACCTCTTCCCACTCTCTACCAACTCTCCCCCCCCTCTTCCCACCCTCTCAGCCTCTCCCAATTCACTCACGCGATGGGTTCACGAGGTGAGTGAGGTGAGCCCAACTACCCTTGCCTGAAGTCCATTGGAATGCCCAATCATCATTTCTTCCACCCCAAGCCAACCTAACTTCCCCTCATTGGGCCATGCGGCCCGCCCCTCATCCCATTCCCTCCAGCAATGGGTTTACGGGGTGAGTGAGTTGAGCCCAGTACCCTTGCCTGCTTGCTTGCTTGCTTCCGCACCTCCCTGACTGTCGGTCTCCCATTCCTTCCCCGCCAGCGGCCTGGTGCGGTCCGTGCCACAATGTGGCTGGTGCAGTTCCCCCCATTGTGTAACACCCAACCGTGCTTGCTGCTTGCACCTCTCTGCCAGCCAGTCTCCCTTCCTTCCCCGCCAGTGGCCCGGTCCAGTCCAGATTAACCCCCCCTTGTGTAACACCCAGCCTTGCTTGCTTGCACTCGTCTCTGCCCGCCAGTCTCCCTTCTCTCCCATCCACCACACTCCCTTCTGGCCCAGCTCAGACTTGACCCTTAGCTTCCTTGTTTCCGTGCTTACGTGCTTCCTTGCTTCCTTGAGTTCCGCTCTCCCTGCCACTCATCCCCCTTGACTCGAGCGGCTTGCACGAAGAAGTCAACAAGCGAGGCGCCCAGGCCCAACACCCTTCCTTCCCCCTTCCCCCGCTTCCCCCTCTTCCTTTCGCTCCCCTCCCCATTTGTGAACACACCCAGCCTTGCTTGCTAGCGTGCACCCCTCTCTACCTGCCTGCCATTCCTCCTTCCCCTCCAATGACTTGCAGAGACATAAAGCCGTCACCATGAAAGCTGCCAGCCCCCCCCTTCCCCCCCACCTCCTCCCCCCCCCCCCCCCTCTTTTTCTTGTCCCCGTCCTTGTGAACACGCCCAGCTTTGCTTGCTTGCTTGCATCCCTCCCCACCGCAGGTCACTCCTCCTTCCCCTCCTGTTGTGCCTGTCAGCTTCTGTGGCGCAGTGTGGCTGGTGGTGGGACGGAGGAGGAGGAAGAGGAACCCTTGGACCACCTGGGATATAAACGGGGGCACGAGGGGAGGGGGGTTGAAGGAACGGAACGATTAGAAACAACTCTGGATGCAGAGGAGGAGGAGGAGGACAAAGAGGAAGAGATGGGGTGGGAAGAGAGGGGGTGAGAAGAAACGGGGTGGGAAGGAAGAAATGGGGTGGGAAGAAACGGGGTGGGAAGAAATGGGGTGGGAAGAGAGGGGGTGGAAAGAGAGGGTGTGGGAAGAGAGGGGGTGGGAAGAGAGGGGGTGGGAAGAGCGGGGGTGGAAAGAGAGGGGGTGGAAAGAGAAGGGGTGGGAAGAGAGGGGGTGGGAAGAGATGGGGTGGGAAGAGAGGGGGTGGGAAGAGAGGGGGTGGGAAGAGAGGGGGTGGGAAGAGAAGGGGTGGAACGAGGAAGATGTACCGAGAGGCAACGTGGGATTGAAGGAAGACAGGAGAGAATGGCGTGCTTAAGGGAGGTAGACGACAGGGACATGGCATGGGAAAAACGAAATGAGTTGAGTGGGGGAAAGGATGGCGTGGGATAGCGAGGTGGGTATACTATGGAGATGGGAAGAAGGGAAGAATGTGAGTGGGAGGGAAGAGGCGTACCCAGAAGAGTAGGAGGAAAAGTGCAGGAGATGTACCGAGAGGTGAGGCGGGATTTGAGGGAGGAGAGGAAGGCATGGGGAAAGGAGGTAGGTGGTAGCACAGAGATGGGGAAGGCGGAAAGAGTTGAAGTGGGAGGGAAGGGGGAAGGAGGCGTACCGAGATGTGAGGCGAGACTTGAGGGAGGAGAGGATGCCGTGGGGCTGACAACCCCGGGGGAAAGACGGAACGCGATCGTCCATAGAGCTGAGCAGGAGGATGGGGAGGGGGAGGGGAAGGGGGAGGGGGAGGGGGAGGGGGGGGGGGGGGGAGGGGGAGGGGGAGGGGGTACGCTTGTCAGTAGAGCTGAGAACGGGAAGGAAAAAGAGAAGGCTTGCAAGAGGAGAGGATGGGGAGGAGGTAGCAGCCCCAGGGGGGGTAGCAGCCCCAGGGGAGGTAGCAGCCCCAGGGGAGGTAGCAGCCCCAGGGGAAAGGGGGAGTTCGATTCTCCATAGAACTGAGAGGGAGAGTTGAAGGGAGGGAGAGGGATAAGGGGAGGGACGGTGGAAACAGAGCAAGGGGAAAGGCAAGAGACGAGGATGGCATGGGGCTGACGACCCCGAGGGAAAGGCGGAGTGCGATCGTCCCTAGAGCTGAGAGCGAGGATGGGGAGCGAGGGTGGAAGCGAGGGTGGAAGGGGTTGGAGCAGGGGCTGTGGCAGCACCTGCGTGCAAAGAAGAGGGCCGAGCAGCATCCAATGCCAGAATTCGCGATTTCAACCAATTCCAAACGATATCACGACTCGGGTATTTAGCAGCAGCCGCAGAGGGACTGGCCGCAACGGTGTCATGGGCGGCGGTGACGGCGGCAGCGACAAATTCTAAACGAGCATCGCAACACCTTCATCTGCTTGCCACACACATACCTGGAGCGAGCAGCATCCGCCAGGTTATTACCCTCCCCTGCAGCTGCGCCTGCAGCAGCAACGCCACGACTGCTGCTGCTGCTGCTGCTGCTGCTGCTGCCCCCACCATTGTTGCTGCTGGTGGTCCTGCTGCCACCACCAGCTGTAGCGGCACCTGTAGCAAGGGCAGTGGCAGAGGCAGCAGCAGGGGCTGCAGCAGCAGGGTCAGCAGCAGGGGCTGCAGCTTCCCCAACAAAAGGAGGTGGAGCCGTAGAAACGCTTCCCATAGAGGTGCTACCACCACCACCACATACGACAACGGCTGTAGCAGCAGTGACTGTAGCAGGGGTTATAGCAGCGGCTGTAGCAGCTTCTTCCCCAATAAAAGGAGGTGGGCCCGTAACCATGTTCCCAATTGCAGCGGAGCCACCACCACCACATAGGTCAGCAGCTGTAGCAGGGGTTGCAGCAGCAGAGGCTGTAGCAGGGGTTGCAGCAGCAGAGGCTGTAGCAGGGGTTGCAGCAGCAGAGGCTGTAGCAGGGGTTGCAGCAGCAGAGGCTGTAGCAGGGGTTGCAGCAGCAGAGGCTGTAGGAGGGGTTGCAGCAGACGCTGCAACAGCTTCTTCCCCGATGAAAGGAGGTGGACCCGTAACAATGTTCCCAATAGCGGTGCCACCACCACCACTTGCGTCAGTGGCTGTAGCAGCAGCGGCTGAAGCAGCAGCAGAAGTTGTACCAGCAGGGGTTGTAGCAGCTTCTTCTCCAATGAAAGGAGGCGCCAATCCAGCAACAGTGGCAGCAACAATGCCGGCACTGCCTTGACATGCGGTGTCAGTTGCAGAAGCATCAGCTGTAGCAGCAGCAGCTTCCCCAATAAAAGGAGGTGCCAATCCAGCTGCCCTCACGCTTTGACCACCCACTCCTGTCACGATCGCACCACGCCCCACCCCCTGAAACCTCCCTCCAACCGTTCCCTGCTCCTCCGAACCTGCCAACACCAGCTTAAGCCCTTCCTGCCCTTCTCCGCCGAACCTAGAGGAGGCTCGGGAAGTTGATCCGAGACTGTCACCTGAGGAGGCCAAGAGAGCAGCAGCAGCACCGCCACCACTAGCTGTAGCATCTGTAGCAGCATTCATAGCAGCGTCTGTAGAAGCATCATTAGCAGTAGCTATAGCAGCAGCACCTGTAGCATCATCTGTAGCAGCGTCTGTAGAAGCATCTGTAGCAGCAGCATCAGCAGCATAAGAAGCTTCCGCCTGCTCCTGCTGCTGCTGCAGCTTCTGCTGCTGATGCTGCTCCAGCAACAGCCGCTGCTGCTCCTGCTGCTGCCTCGCCAGCAGGCAGGAGAGGGACGCACTCATAGGAATCACGGCAGCAGCAACAGACGGGCTTTCGGATAGAGAGGAGGCCATATGAGGCACCGCTGCTGCTGCTGCTGCTGCTGCAGTGGAAGGGGAAGGAAGAGTGTGGGGAGGAGGAAGAGTGTGGGGAGGAGTAGGTGCCAGGATAGACGCTGCATAAAGAACCCCGGACCTGCTTTGAGGAGGGGTTTCTCCTGTCTCAGAACCAGAAGACATGGGGAGCACTCCATTCCAGCTCACAGTAGCTCCTAGAGGGGTATCCAAAGGGAGAGCACCTGCTGACAGGCTGAATCCTCTGTTGCTTTCTCCTGAGGTAGAGGTCTCAGGTGGGTAGAACGAGAGGGAGGAAGGCGGGCGTGGGCGTAGGGGCGAGAGGGAGAAGGTGGGCGGGGAGCATGCTGCCTCTGCTGCGAGGACGGATGGGTCAGGGCGGTAACATTGGATGGGGGGAGAGGTGAAGGGACAGACAGGAGCAGTAGCAGTAGAGGTAGTAACAGCAGCAAGAGCAGTAGCAGGAGCAGCAGCAGAGGTAACAGTAGAGGTAGTACCAGAGTTGGTGTCAGAGAGTGTGACAGCAGCAACAGCAGCAAGAGGCGCAGCAGTGGATGGTGATGCGGCTGATGGAGCAGATGCAGAGGCGGATGGAGAGGAGGAAGAGGCGAGTGCTGCTGAAAGGGAGGCAGCGGAGGAGGAGGAAGAAGAAGAGGTGGTGGTGGTGGTGGTGGTGGTAGTGGTAGTGGTGGTAGTGGTGGCGGTGATGTTGGTAGTGGTGGTGGTGGGGATAGTAGAGGAGGAGGAAGGGGAGGCGGAGCGTGAGGAGCGGTGTCTGTGAGGGCTGAAGGAGAGAGCAAAGGAGCGGGGGGAGGAGCCGGAGAGACCGCGAGAGGAAGAGGAAGAAGAAGAGGTGGCGTGGCGGAGGGAGGAGAGGAGCGAGGAGGGCAGCCAGCGATCGACAGGCGAGCCCGATGTGACTGTGGACTGCAGGGGATTGGGGGGAGGGGGGTAGGGGGGAAGGAGAGGGAGAGTGAGCATGGTTGGGATGGGAGGAGCGGTGACTGCATGGGCTGAAGGAGAGAGCGAAGTCTTTCGAGGCACCTGTGAGGGGGTAAATGGGGGAGCGGGAGGAGCGGTGTCTGTGAGGGCTGAAGGAGAGAGCGAAGGAGCGGGGGGAGGAGCCGGAGAGACCACGAGAGGAAGAGGAGGAGGAGGAGGCGTGGCGGAGCGAGGAGAGGAGGGCGGAGGGCAGCCAACGATCTACAGGCGAGCCCGATGTGACTGTGGACTGGAAGGGGGCAGGGAGGCAGAAGTGGAGGGGACGGGAAGTGCGAACATGAGTGTCAGGGCACGGGAGAGGGCAGCCAACGATCTACAGGCGAGCCCGATGTGACTGTGGCCTGCAGGGGGGAAGGGAGAGGAAGGTGTGGTGTGGGGGTGTGGGTGGGGTAGAGGGAGATGCAAGGAGAAAGGGAGAGAGGCGGGTGCAAGGAGTGGAGGGAGGTCAGAAGCACATGGCGGGATGGACGTGACTTTTGAGTCGACTCAAAAGTCACCTCAAAAGTCACCTCAAAAGTCACCTCAAAAGTCACCTCAAAAGTCACTTTGGGTACAAGGAATGGAGGGAGGTCAGAAGCACATGGCAACGCATCACTTTGATTGGTCCACTGCATTGGATGCCCCTTTTTTTATGCTAGTCCTCTAGATTAGACTATTTTCCACACCCACAGCAGGGATGGAGGAAGGTCGCCTATCCTTGGCCCTCTCTCGACGCCACACCCTCTCACATGCACATCCACTCTCACCCGCACCCACACCCACACCCCCTCTCACCTGCACCCACACCCACACCACCTCTCACCCACACCCACGCCCACACCCACACCCCCACCCCCACCCACACACCACCTCTCACCCACACCCACACCCCTTCTCACAAGCGCCTAGCCTGCCCCCTCACTGCCACTCCCCTTGCTGCCAATCGTTTTGCTTAAAGCCCACCATATGAATTCCACACCTACCCACAGACATACCTGACTGCTGCTCTGCCGCTCCCTCTGCTCCCGCTGCTGCTGCTGGCGATGGGGAGAAGGTGCAGGGATGGAGGAGGGCGATGACGACGACCCTCCTGTGCCCATGGGCTGAGCGCCCCGCCTTGCCTGGCCCCTCATCGCCACTCCCCTTGCTGCCACTGCTCTCGCATTTCCCTTGCTTCAAGCCCACCCAAGAACCCCCAAGCGCACCGCACACACAACACACCTGTGATGAGGACGGCTGACCGCTACCGCTGCTGTCCCTGCTGCTCTGCCGCTGCTGCTGCTGCTGGCGATGGCGGGAGGGAGCAGGAATAGAGGAGGGCGACGAAGACGAAGAGCCTCCTGTACCCATGGGCTGAGCTCCCCGCCTCGCGTGCCCTCTCACGGCCACTCCCCTTGCTGCCACTCCCCGACTTGCTGCCCCCCGGCCGGCGGCACCCCGCACTGATACCACTGATGCTGCAATTGCAGCGGCTGCCGCTGCTGCTGCCGCGCGCTGCTCTGCTGCTTGGATTTCCTTCTCCCTGTAGCACGCCAGTAGCAGCTCCTGACTGGAAGCATGAGAGTCAGGAAGAAAGACAATAGAGAGGAGAGATTGGCGATGAGTGGAGGCGTGCTGGTTGTCAGCTGCACCTGTCTCTCCTTCTCTCCCTGTAGCACGCCAGCAGCAGCTCCTGACTGGGAAGGCGGTGGAAGCGACAGTGACACAGGCAACAGTGGCACAAGCAACAGTGGCACAAGCAACAGTGGCACAAGCAACAGTGGCACAAGCAACAGTGGCACAAGCAACAGAGGCGGGTTAGGCAGGGCTACAACCATCCCCCTGCACTGCTCTGCTGCTTTGATTTCCTTCTCCCTGTAGCACGCCAGCAGCAGCTCCTGACTGGGAAGGGGAAGGGAAGATGGTGGAAGCGACAGCGGCACAAGCGAAAGAGGCGGGTTAGGAAGAGCTTCAGGCATCCATCCCGCTGCTCTGCTGCTTTGATTTCCTTCTCCCTGTAGCACGCCCAGCAGCAGCTCCTGACTGGGAAGGCAAAAGGAAGGCATACAATCGAAAGAGCTGGATTAAAAAGGGCTCCAGCCACCCCCGCTGCTCTGCTGCTTTGATGTCCTTCCCCCTGTAGCGCACGCCCAGCAGCAGCTCCTGACTGGATGCATCTGATCATCTAGTCAGGAGCTGCTGAAGTGCTGCTGGGCGTGCTACAGAAGGATGATCGGGAGGGCAAGTGGCAATATGTGCGGGATTGCTGTAGCACGCCTGAAGCAGCTCCTGACGGCGGGGGGCGAAGGGAAGGCGGTACTGCATTTCATCTTGCACGTACCAGGTTTCGTCTTGCACGTACCAGGTTTCGTCTTGCAGTGCCAGCTTGCGCCAGCACATGGGGCACTCCTCTCGACGCTGTGCCCTGGGGAATAGGGAGCAGGGGCGGAAATGGAGTGCAGGGGCGGCAATGAGGAGCATGGAGGAATGGGGAGCACGGGAATGGAAGCACGGGGCGTGGGGAGCACAGGGGAGGTGGAAAGCGGAGAGCACAAGAGGAGAGCACAAGAGGAGAGCACAAGAGGAGAGCACAAGAGGAGAGCACAAGAGGAGAGCACAAGAGGAGAGCACAAGAGGAGAGCACAAGAGGAGAGCACAAGAGGAGAGCACAAGAGGAGAGCACAAGAGGAGAGCACAAGAGGAGAGCACAAGAGGAGAGCACAAGAGGAGAGCACAAGAGGAGAGCACAAGAGGAGAGCACAAGAGGAGAGCACAAGAGGAGAGCACAAGAGGAGAGCACAAGAGGAGAGCACAAGAGGAGAGCACAAGAGGAGAGCACAAGAGGAGAGCACAAGAGGAGAGCACAAGAGGAGAGCACAAGAGGAGAGCACAAGAGGAGAGCACAAGAGGAGAGCACAAGAGGAGAGCACAAGAGGAGAGCACAGAGGAGAGCACAAGAGAAGAGCACAAGAGGAGAGCACAAGAGGAGAGCACAAGAGGAGAGCACAAGAGGAGAGCACAAGAGGAGAGCACAAGAGGAGAGCACAAGAGGAGAGCACAAGAGGAGAGCACAAGGCAACGGTAAGCAAAGGGAAACAGAGCAAGAGGGAATGAGGGCACGGAAAATTGGCAAACTTGAGGGAATGGAGAGGAATGGGGAATGGGGAGGAATGGGGAATGAGGAGGAATGGGGAATGGGGAGGAATGAGGAATGGGGAGGAATCGTGAATGGGGAGGAATCGTGAATGGGGAGGAATCGTGAATGGGGAGGAATCGTGAATGGGGAGGAATCGTGAATGGGGAGGAATCGTGAATGGGGAGGAATCGTGAATGGGGAGGAATCGTGAATGGGGAGGAATCGTGAATGGGGAGGAATCGTGAATGGGGAGGAATCGTGAATGGGGAGGAATCGTGAATGGGGAGGAATCGTGAATGGGGAGGAATCGTGAATGGGGAGGAATCGTGAATGGGGAGGAATCGTGAATGGGGAGGAATCGTGAATGGGGAGGAATCGTGAATGGGGAGGACTCGTGAATGGGGAGGACTCGTGAATGGGGAGGAATCGTGAATGGGGAGGACTCGTGAATGGGGAGGACTCGTGAATGGGGAGGACTCGTGAATGGGGAGGAATCGTGAATGGGGAGGAATCGTGAATGGGGAGGACTCGTGAATGGGGAGGACTCGTGAATGGGGAGGACTCGTGAATGGGGAGGACTCGTGAATGGGGAGGACTCGTGAATGGGGAGGACTCGTGAATGGGGAGGACTCGTGAATGGGGAGGAATCGTGAATGGGGAGGACTCGTGAATGGGGAGGAATCGTGAATGGGGAGGACTCGTGAATGGGGAGGACTCGTGAATGGGGAGGACTCGTGAATGGGGAGGACTCGTGAATGGGGAGGACTCGTGAATGGGGAGGACTCGTGAATGGGGAGGACTCGTGAATGGGGAGGACTGGGAATGGGGAGCAAAGGGGAATGGAGAGCACGAGAAAGGGCAGGCGGTGAATAGAAATGGAAGGCGAGAGGAGGAATGTGCAGAGAAGAGCAGGGACGAGAGGAGGAGTGGTAAGAGGAGGAGTAAGAGGACGAGGAGGAAGGGAGGGGAGATAGGGGAGGAAGGGGAGAAAGCGGAGAGGAAAGGGAGGGGAGGAAGAGAGGAAGGGGAGGACGGTTGATTGCGAATAAATGCTAGCTGAGAGAAAGACCAGCTAAGTCAGCGAGGCGCTTACCATTCCAGGATGCACTGAAAGTGGTACTCGTGGTTGCACACTGTGAGCTGGCAGCACACGTGGGGAGCACACAAAAGTGAAAGGAAATGAGGAAATGAGGATGTGAGGATGTGAGGGGCAATGCGCAAGAAGCGAGCAGAGGATGCACTGGTAGTTATTCTTGTGGCTTCACAACGTCCGTCAGCTGACACGGGGAGACAAAAAGCATTTTGTTTGAGGTTGATTTTGAGAATTCTGACGACGCCTTTCTCGCCTTTCTCTCCTTCTCAAAATCAACCTCAAACAAAATATTCTTGTGGCTTCACAACGTCCGTCAGCTGACACGGGGAGACAAAAAGCAGCAGCAGCAGTAGCGAGGGGAATGGGGGATTGAAAAAGTGCAGCGTGAGGGGTAATGCGCAAGCGCAAGAGGCGAGCAGCAGTCCACAGTCCAAGCGCAGGCACAATGGAAGTGGCTCTTGTGGCTCCACAGTCCACACCGTCCGTCCGCTGGGATGGGCCATGGCGAGACAAAAAGAAGAAGAAGCGGCAGAAGTTTTAGCAGCAGCAGCAGCAGCAGCAGCAGCAGCAGCAACAGCAGCAGCAGCGAGGCATGGGGGAGGCAAGGGCAAGGCAAGAGACGCGGAGGAGGACGCGTGCCGAGACAAGGCCATGGCATGGGGGAGGCAAGGGCAAGGCAAGAGACGCGGAGGAGGACGCGTGCCGAGACAAGGCCATGGCATGGGGGAGGCAAGGGCAAGGCAAGAGACGCGGAGGAGGACGCGTGCCGAGACAAGGCCATGGCATGGGGGAGGCAAGGGCAAGGCAAGAGACGCGGAGGAGGACGCGTGCCGAGACAAGGCCATGGCATGGGGGAGGCAAGGGCAAGGCAAGAGACGCAGAGGAGGACGCGTGCCGAGACAAGGCCATGGCATGGGGGAGGCAAGGGCAAGGCAAGAGTACTCAAGAGCACTCACGGTGGCGGGGTCGCATTCGGTGAAGGCATCCAGGCAGATGCTGCACGAATCCTCCTCCGCGTCTTGCACTCCCGCCGCCACCAGCGCTGCTGCCGACACCAGCCGAATGGCCGCCTCGCTCGCCGCGGACTCGCTAGGAGCGGGCTCGCTAGCAGCAGATTCGCTATTAGTCGTTGACTCGCCGGGAGTACACTCGCTAGCGTTGGGTTCGTTAGGAGCTTGCTCGGTCTGAGCATCGACGTAGCCACCGTTATTAACTAAACTGGCGTCGCTTGCGCCGTCAGCAGCGCCATTGCCGCTGGCGTCGGCGCGACTACTTGTGCTGCAAATACCGGGATGTTCGCGAATGTCGCTGCTATCGCTACCGTGGTTACTATCGCCACCGCGGTTACTATCGCTGCAAATGCCCTCACTACCGGAGCTGTTACACTCGATCCCATCCGAGCTACCAGACGGAATACACCGCAAACCGTTATCCTGCCCCGCCTCTCCTTCTTCAACGTTCTTTCTGCCCGAAGCTAGATCGCCTTCCGTCCTCGTTACGCAGTCTCCCGTTATAACGTCCGCCGTGGTAACCCCACACGTGGCCTCGGGGACAACTGTCCCTTCACTCCGGCCACTCCCGAGCGCGTCTCTTGACAAATCCGGGCCGTCCTTTAACGAATCTAGCTTTCCGTCGAGCGCCGTGACCGTAAGATCGACAATCCCTAAATTCGGTCCATTATCGGCGGTTCTCCATGGCTCAGGAACTACTCTGCAAAACGGCATCGCCATTCTCGCAATATTTATTCAGCCGAGTCGAGTTAAATTAGTTATTGGGAAACCGAACGACGAAACGGGCTCGCCATTATCACAGAAAGTCCTGTCTCGACTTTTACTATTGTTTTCAAGGATTACTAGGTTTCTGGAGCATCCAAAGCAAACTCCTACAATCTAAGCCACTCCTGGCGCAACGACGACTGACGCGTCACTCTCCCGAATCCGTTGCTGACTCTTAATCTCACCTCTACAACACGATAATTGAAAGCTATTAACGACAGACTAAGAGCCAAGATATCGCGCTGCAAACATTAGTCTCGTCAGAGCAGCCCATTGTTAGGCACAAGGCGTCGAGCGCGGATTCTATGGGCGAGAAAAGGTGACTGGGGGAGACGAACGAATGAGCTTTAGTGGTTTTTGAGCCGACTAATGACTAAGAATCAGCTATGGTGGTGTCATTCCAAACACAGCACACGTGACTTTTCTTCCGCAGTACAACGCTGCTTCTCCATACCTCGATTTCACCGCAATAACGGCATGGAGCAGAACGGTTGGGCTTGTCTGAAAGGGATACAGTTCGGTCGGGCTGGTTTGGTTTGGTTTGGTTTGGTTTTGGTTGCAAGGCTGGGCCGGTCGGGAAAGCTCGGTTGGGTGTCAGGCGCTGCTGCACCAACTGCCCTTCTTAGGGGGCGTATTCGAAAAACGCATCCCACATAACCGTATCCGCGTCCAGTGAACAAGGCTGCCTCGAGAGACAAACACGAAGCAATACTGGAAATTTGAACACTTCGGGAACTGGTCGTTAAATTCCTGATGTAACGAGTTTTGAAACCTACGAACCCGCCCTGGGTTCGGCGGCAGCACAAGCAGGAGCCGCAAGAGCAAGCGCGGGAGCAAGCGCGGGCGCATGCGCAGCCGCAATGCGGGGAGTTGGATGAATGATGTCAGCGAACGGGTTTCTGTCATTGCCTTGACTGCCGGTACAGGGGGTGGCGCTGGTGGCGCACTGTGCACCATGCCGCTCGCCCAGTACAGTTCAGTACTGTATGTGTAGGGATAAAGTGAGTGACGAAGCATAACTCTACGTACCATCTTGAGCGACGTCCCAACCTCACTCACATCGGAGTGCCCCGTTTCACACAGCCCTCTCTCACCCCCCGACAAGCGCTACTTGTGCTCGCTCCGCGCCCTTTACCAAAACGCCATATTTTCATTTGTTTTTCCCTACCCTGCCCCTCAACAACAACCACACGTTCAAGGTTCATCGACTCCGTCCATTGGCTATTGCACCTTGCCCGAGACTCAACTGAGGACGCCCTATCCTGTCGTTTTGAAGTCTTGGTTCAGGCCGGTTCAACATTGTTAAAATGCGGTTCAAGCTTCGAATGTTGTAAACTACTGTTACGAGTGCAATTGAGCGAGCGAGCTAGAATTGCACTATCGAAGCAAAACATTACATCAAGCGAGGGAATTAGCAAATAATATATTGTGAAATTGGGGTGCGCTACGGGTCTAGCGCCGAGGTTGGGAAATGTCGAGGTGGAGGTCTGGAGCGCGAGTAACCAACCAAGCCGTGAGGTTGGGTCGTGATGTGAACAGTGGCGGGAGCAATAGTTGAGGCGAGTGTCGAGCGTGGTAACGGTGGACTGTTGGGTACTGTTGGCGCGAACAGTTGAGTACGCGATAAGCAGGGGCGGGAAGTAAGGAAAATGTTTTTTTCTTACACTACCCCCTCCCAAGGAGGCCCTCCTTACGAGAGTGCGTGTACATCCCGGAAGTTGCGGCTGCGTAGGTGCTCGGTGAGGACAGGGTGGTTTTTGATTCTATCCAGGGGCACCCAGTTGTCTGTTAGAGTTACTAGCTAGATGAGTGGGTTCGATTAGGTAAGGGGGGGGTACAAGGACTATCGAGAGAGATTGTTGTACCCTCTAAGGAAAGAACCCTACACAACCTAGAGTGAAATAAGCAGAACAATATGTTTTGACACACCCCCATAGGTGAAGTAGGGGATAGCCAAGCCTAACAGTGGTCACAAGACCAGTCAAGCAAGAGAACAAGCAAGGCAAAGCCCAGGGTGGATCTCAAGGACACCACACAATCTGAGCACAAGCAGGCAGCCACAAGGCCAGTTCACATGCAGATTTATAAGAGCAAGGCAGTACACAGATCACAACCTAGCAAGAGGAAACATGCAGGTATAAAGATATATAGCAGTGTACAACAAGAGCAAGTCAAGCAACCAGCAGGTGAGGCAGAGTGGGCACAAGCCCAAGAGCAGTGCAGAAACGCTGATGATCACCAGCCGCAAGGGCCTTGGTGAAGACATCAGCAGTGTTGGCCCGAGAGGCCACGAAAGCAAGGCGCAGCTGACCACGCTGCTGCAGCTCACGCGCAAGGAAGTAGCGCAGAGCAATGTGTTTCGTTCTGTGCTCCAGTCTCTGTTCGCGACACAAGGCAAGCATTGCCTTGTTGTCGACGTACAGAACTGGAGGAGAACGAGGCCGCTCCCCCAAGTCGGTCAGCAGGTAGGTCAGCCAACGGAGCTCCTGTGCAGCCATGGCCCCAGCGTAGATCTCGGCCTCACAGCTAGAACCAAGCACAGAAGAAGAACGAGTGGACCTCCACGAGACAGAACCAGCGCCAAGACTGAAGGTGTAGCCCTGTGACGAACGCTGAGTCGCCTGGTCGTCAGCCCAAGAAGCGTCAGAGTGTCCTGTGAGGACCACAGGACCCCGTCCTCCAAGCACGAGCCCCATGCCCGATGTGCTGCACAAGTAACGCAGTACCCTCTTCGCAGCATCAAAGTGCACCTTTCGGTGCCTGCCGGGTGCCACGTAGCGAGCCAGAAGGCTGAGAGGATACGCGAGGTCAGGTCGTGTGCACGTCATCAGGTACATGAGGCAGCCCACAAGCTCTGGGTACGGACCACTCGGCTCTACGGACTCGTCCGAAGGTGGAGCTGAGAGCGAGTGGCCGGTAGCCAGAGGAGTGGGCTGTGGCGAGGAGTACGTGAAGCGGAAGCGCTGAAGGACCTGGTGCACCATGTGTGACTGAGTCAGGGTGATGGTGCGCCGTGCTCTGTCCCGGGTGATTTGCAAGCCAAGATAGCTCCGCAGCTCACCCAGGTCAGTGCAGGTGTGTCTCTCCTGCAGCTCCGCCTTCACTAGGGTCAGTGCCTCAGTGTCAGCAGTAGCAAAAACCAAGTCGTCGACGTACACGAGGATGTAGAACGGCGTCAGAGTAGTGTCGGTGCGTAGAAACAGCGACGGGTCAGCAGTTGAAGGAGCAAACCCAAGAGCCGCAAGTGTCGTCCTCAGTGTGTCGTGCCACTC